AAGTGTGTCGTTAGATCGCCGAGAATGCAGCCCGCCGTGGCACGGCGGGAAACGTCGTCGCGTTTCGAAACCGCATTGTCGAGAAGTGGTTCACGGCGAGCGATTCGCCGACTCATCGAACGGGGGAGGAGGGGGGGAGGGGCGTTCGCAAAAATTGCTTAGAAATCGCGCGCGGTTCGTTCGCGCGTTTCCTGCAAAAATTTCGCTGCTCGTTCGAGCCGAGCGACGACTCGTTGCGAAGACGGTTTGCCGAGAAGGAGAAAGAGAATGCGAGCGCGAGAGAGAGAGAGAGAGAGAGGCGAGAAGAGAACGAGAGAAAGAGCTCCGGGGTCCTTCTCCTTCGTTTTGCGTCGCACGAGTTTGCACACATTCGCGAAGGTTCGCGTTCGTGTGCGACGTTGGTCTCGCATGTTCGCTGGCTGGCATGTACGCGAGCAGCCCAGCCAGCCGAGCAGCCAGCCAGGAGCACCTGGGCACCTATGCGTCATTGTGGACGATAAAAAAAGCCGTAAGGCTGCCATAACGCAAGGAGAACGTCGACAATATAGCAGCTCGACTAGTAAAGCTGGTTTGTTATTTTTCCCCCGTTCCTACGGGGGAATCGCGACTCCCAACGCTCCTCGATCGTCATCGATGCTCCCGGAGAACTGCCCTCCGACCCTAACCCGGCGCTCTTAATTTCTGCCACGGGAATCCCGCGTCACCCTACGAACCGCAGGCGAGCAATTTTATGGAGCAGCTAGCTAAGAGATCGCTGCAAGAATGTCCCTGGCAAGTCCCCGATGCCGATTTCCAAGGATCCTGCGAAACCGTCAAACACGGCCGGTCCCATTAATTACACCGGCGGACCGTTACGCGTGCAAACGAATTCGACGAGCTTTTTTCCGCTACGAGTTTTCGACCCCGCGAGCACACGAAGAGATGGCCGCCGCCGGTGTTTCGCGGACGAAAGATTACGGACAAAAGTGGCATCGATCGTACAGAAACATTGTAAAGAATACGCGGGGGGGGGGGAGGCATGTAGAGCTGGCTCTCCTTTGAAAAAAGAAACTTCCTTCGAAAGAAGTGGAAACGCGGCTCGAAGCCGGGCGCAACGTTCGTAGCTGCGAGCTGCGCCGCGCGCGCAGCGTCGAGTTTGCATTCGAATCTGAGGGAAACATCGGCTGAATTAATTAGAATTGTACGAGCCCGGGCGGAGAGGAAAGAAAGAGGAGCACGGAGGGGAACAAAGAAACCGTTCGATCGGCCGAAGAAGTCTCGAGGACAAAGACACTCGCCGAAAACGGAGAGCCGACGATCGCGCGTAAGGCGGTTCTCGGCGGAGGATAGATTCGGAGCGGCTGTTACGAGGCCCGACACGGGGCCCGACCCGATATGGCCCGATGGCGGGATTAGAATGTTCCGCGTAGATACATAGAATTAATTTGCGCGACGGATACTCGGAATGTCTGGGCGAGAGAGCGGGTTCGCGCGTCTCACGCATTCGCAAGCGTCGTGATTCCTTACGGGCAGCGAATTATCGTCGGGGATCTAAAGAACGGAATACGAAAGAAAGGGAGAAAAAAAACGAGAAAGAAACGAACGAAGACGATGAGACGCGTATCCTTCTAGCGAGGACAGAATCGACGGCTTCGTAGGCGAGCGCGCCGAAGCCTCAAGGCTCCTGGATCTCGGTTCCAAACTCACGTTCAAGGATCGGCTTTGTACAGAGGAATTTTTATTGGCCGCGACACTCGAGCGCGTAGCGTCTGACGCGCGCATAACAAGCGCGGAGAGAGCTGAATTTTTCGCGGGATCGCGAGATCGCGAAAGAGAGAAAGAGTGAGAAATCTAGAAAGAAAGAGAAAAAGAGAAAGAGAGAGAGAGAGAGCTAGAAAGAAAGAAAGAAAGAGAAAGAGAGCGAGAGCTAGAGAATTTTTATTTTTTACTCGGCACCGCCGGGCCCCCGACCCTCCGCGGTTGCACCCCGTCTCACCCTCGCTTTTCCGTCTTCTTTCTGCGGACGTTCGGTATCGCAAGATCTATTTATACCTAGTCGCTCGGTGTTTTCAAGTTGCAGCGGGGCATCGTGTAACAAACGCGCGTCCATCGTAAAAATAGGGGATCTGCACGGATACGTTGCGCGTCCCGGCGAGGGGCCGGAGGAAAGTTCAAGAGAGAGAGAGGGAAAGATGGCGAAAGGGAGAAAGACGTAGATACCAGGAGAGAGAGAGAAACACAGAACGAAATAAAGAGAGAGAGAGAGAGAGAAGAGAAACGAGAGAATTCGCGAAGCGGGGACACAGCCTCGAAACGAGACATCGTGGGACCGAGAGACACGGTAGAGCGGTTCGATCGAGAGAGATCCTAGCGAGGGAGATCCACGGCGGCGACCTTGCGGAGAGTAACAGGCGATTTCCTGGTACGGCTATTTCCGTTTTTCCTAATTCGCCGGCGCAAAAAGCGAGCGTGCCGTCTCGTGGCTCGCAATAAAAACGAATGATCGCCGCGCAGCGATCGCCGCCGCCGCGACGAGACTCGTTTAATTGAATCTCGCCGGCAGCGGGCCGACGTGGCTCTCTCTCTCTCTCTCTCTCTTTCTCGTTTTCATCTCTCTCTCTGTCTCTCTTTATCCGTGTGTACGGCGAGAGAGCGTCGTTTTACGAGACGCGGAATTTTTCGTGAATGAACCGGCGGAGAGAAAAAAAGAGAGGAAGGAAAACGCGAACGGTGTGCAGCGGATAGAGAGAGAGCAGAGAGAGAGAGAAAGAGAGAGAGAGAGAGATTTGGGAGGGAGAAAGAATGAAAGGAGAGAGAGAGCGAGAGAGCAAGGGAGAGGGAGGAGAGGGCGCGTGGTACGCAGGAGCGACTAGGAAAAACCGGGCAAAAAACACGGAGAAAACGAGAGTGAACGAGGAGTGCAGGGTCGCGAGCTTATAGCGTACGTGTGTGTACACGTACACGCGACGGGGCACTCGTAACACGCGGCCCCTGAAGCAATGCGGCTCGCACCGCGACAAAAGGATCGAGCAACTCGCTCCTCGCCTGCTCGCTCGCTCGCTCGCTCGCTCAGACGGATTACGTCATTTCCCAGGCAACCTCTAACGTCTGGCAGCACGCTCGTCTAGCGGTCGTCTAGCCGCCTCGGCGATCCCTGCTATCGGACTAACACACTAAACTAGGCGTCCGCACGCGTGTCCTACCTTTCACGCATCGAGCCTACCTTACTCTAGCGAGACGCCGTGTCTAGGTGCGCGTAAAGCGGCCTGCACACAGTCTACCGTCCTAAGGGAGGCAGCTGATCGACCGACGATACCCTTTTCTTACTGTGTCTAAGCCTCGTTTTTCACCCCGTCGTGTACTGTTTGCTGTGCACGATGCGTTTTTTTCGAGACGGGAACAGATGCATAATGCTATAACAGGTGCGAGTTGTTGACTGGATTGTTTCGGAGCGGCTAGACCGTGGGTCTTTGGACATCCCGGGGACAATGTACATGTTGCTCTTTGCTAGTGGTACTGTCGTGTTTCATTGGAGGGTAATAGATGTGGTCTGCGATCTAGGAATGATTCGACTTGTCATTGACCGATCTATTTGATGCCGATGGAGCTGTGCGCTGCTGAAGGAACTGCGTGTGTGGTACCGAAGGAATTATGTACTGTTGAGGGAGCTGTGTACATCGAAGGAGCTATTTACTGTCGAAGGAGCTATGTACTGTCGAAGGAACTATGTATGTACTACCGAAGGAACTATTTACTGTCGAAGGAACTATGTACTATCGAAGGGACTATATATGTATTACCGAAGGAATTATTTACTGTCGAAGGAACTATGCATTACCGAAGGGACTATATATGTACTACCGAAGGAGCTATTTACTGTCGAAGGAACTATGTTCTACCGAACGAGCTCTGTACTATCTAAGGAACTATTTACTATCTAAGGAACTATTTACTGTCGAAGGAACTATGTTCTACCGAACGAGCTCTGTACTATCTAAGGAACTATTTACTATCTAAGGAACTATTTACTGTCGAAGGAACTATGTTCTACCGAACGAGCTCTGTACTGTCGAAGGAACTATGTACTACCGAACGAGCTATGTACTGTCTAAGGAACTATGTACTATCGAAGGGATTATATATGTAGTACCGAAGGAGCTATTTACTGCCGTAGGAACTATGTACTACCGAACGAGCTATATACTGTCGAATGAACTACGTACTACCGAAGGATCTATGTGCAATTAAAGGAACCTCCGAGCGACACTCTCAGGTGTCACTGACTAATCTCTCTCGAGCAGCTAGATCAAAGATCATTCTCCCACAGTCGTGGGCGATGACGAGTCGCCCGAGAATACGCGTTGCATTCGCAACGCAGCCGAATTCGCGAAACCGACCCACATGAATAGCTTTTTCTGACATGTGCGCTACACCGCGGGGAAAGGAGAAAGAGAGAGAAAAAAAAGAGAGAGAGAAAGAAAAAGCGAGAGAGAGAGAGAGTGGGAGCGAAAGAAGCATGTCCGTGAACATCGACGAAACGTCGGTGCACGTGTGCTCGTGTATGCAGGTACGCTCGCCGGAGCAAATGCACACGTAGGCGCGCGGTGAACGGGCCGACGATAGTACGATCGCGTAGTATATGCGTGCACGCATGCATGGGACTCGCAACTCGCAACAAACGTTCGCGACGTGACGCGACACACTCGTCGAACTCTCTCTCGGTTCGGCTCTCGGTCTCGCTCTCGCTCTCTCGCGATCGGTCGTTTCCTCTCTGGCACGCATACTTTCTCTCTCTCTCTCTCTCGCTCTCTCTTTCTCTCTTCCCCTCGCTCTGTCTCTTTCTCTGTTCCTCGGTTCGGCGTTCGGTGAATCGTTCTCTCGCACACAGCCACACACACACACATACACACACGCACGCATCCACACGAACGGACACACTCTCGTACTCTCTATCGGGCCTGGTCTCTCGCTCTAGAAGCCGACAGGCGGCCGAAGGCCACCGCTCTCAGCTGTGGACGTACCTTGATCGTCGTGCGCGAAGTAAAGCGTGGGGCTCTCCTTTGCCCGGTGTCCTTGTCGTCGTCGTCGTCGTCGTCGTCGTCGTCGTCGGCGGTGCTAAAACCCACCGTTTGACTGTCGGGATGCGACGAGGCCTCCTTTTCCGTCCTCCTCGTTGATAATGACGACGATGATGATGATTTTTCTTCTCACCGATCTCTCACCGCTCCTCTCCTCGCCTCTCCTCTCCTCTCCCTCGACTCGACTCGATTCGACTCGTTTCGATTCGATTCGATTCGGATCGCCTCTCGGACGGACCGGGAAGCGCGTCTGGATCTCGGCTCGATCTCTCGACCCTATGCCACGCGATCGTTGCTCGTGGTGTCGTGCGCTCCTGAGGATCCCGAGGACACTCGCAGGTCCATCCTCCCGAGAAACCACGCACCAACGATCAACCACGACAAACGAAACTGCTGTTCGGCCGCGTAGCTAGCGTACCGATTCACGGAACAATCACGGATCTCGATGGATCACCAACAAGTCTTCGCGTACAAATTCTTCTGTCTCTGCTTTCTACTCCTTCCTCCTTCTCTTCTTCTTCTTCTTCTTCTGCTTCTATCTCTTCCTCTTTTCCCCGGAAACTACGAGGGTTCCGCGAGGATCGTGCACACTGTTTTCTTTTTTTCCACCGAGAAACTCCTTTGTTACGGTTTATATCAATCACTGTTCCCGAAGACGATCGTCCCTGTTCTCACGGCGGCGGTCCCGATCTATCCGGAAGGATCGAAGCGCGGCGCACGACGCGGTCTGTCACTCGAAGGACGAACAGGACGAAGAGGAAGACACCGTAGAAGTGATCGCCGTGGCTGCGTGCTGCCCCGTAAACACCGCCACCGTACACGAGTAGGCGAAGGACGATCCGGTGGATCCTCGGTGCGCGGTTTCCTCGCGAACTGGATCACCCTCGATCACCGTCGATACGCTTATCCCCGAACGTGTCCAAACGGGCCGCCGCGAAATTCGTTCACTGTGTCCTCTTGTCCCTCTTCTTGGCTGGGTTTCCCGGCGAACGGAAAGAAAGGCGGGGGAAGCCGGAGGGTGTTGCAAAGAGAGGAGGAGAGAATAGAGAGCAGCGGCGGCGGAGGCGGCGGCGGCAGCGGCGGCGAAAAGCGGAAAGTCGAAGAGACGGAAGAACCGGGCGGGGAAAAAAAGAAAAGGAAAGAAAAGGGAACCGTGTAGGGAAAACGGTACTAACGGACAAGCACTCCCGTGATCTATCGGCGGTGTCTCCGGCGTGGACGAAGAGGCACGTAAACGGCGGAACGTGTAACGTAAAAACGTGAACGCGGAATCGTTATCGGCGATCGGCGAGCCGAGATCGAGGATGGAGACGGCGACGATCGAAAACGTGGCAGATATCGGCGGACGTGCGTTGATCTCGCGTCGTTGACCAGTGAGAAGGATCCCGCGGCAAAGTATCCGGTATTATCTTGCGGGACGACACCATCGAGCGAAGGACCAGCTCCCTGCCGCTTCTTTGGGACACACCGGGGGACTACCTAGTCGTAGAGTGATTGGGAACGCGACTGGCCAAAGCACTTGATTCGCGCGCGGTTCGGTTTGCCCGTTGCTGCGCCTCTCCCGTGCAGTTTTTTCGGCGGTCCGGTGGTGTGCGTGCATGCGCGTGCATGTATGCGTGTGCGCCCGCCCGCGCGCTCCTCCTCTGTGTCGGTGCCGTGCGTGTCCCTCGGACCTTTTTCTCTCTCGCTCGTGCCTCCTCCTTCTTCCTGTCCCTCTCTCGCTCTCCTCTCCTCGCTTTTTTACACACGAGCGTGTTCCTCCGGTCTGCACGCGCGCGTACGCCGTACACACACCGGCTTCCTTCGTTCTTTCGCTTGCTCGCTCCGGCTCGCTTACTCGCTTACTCGTTTACTCGCTCGCTCGCTCGCTCGCTCGTTCGCTCGTTCGCTCGTTCGCTCCGGCTCTCTTCTCTTGGTCCGTTTGTCCGCGCGCACCGCTGAATTTCCTCGCCGCGTGTGGGTGTGTACGCGCGAGCAGCCCTCCTCTCCAATATAAGCTCGCGGTGTCGCGTCCGTGTGCGTCTTCGCGCGTCCTTCCGTCCGCGTGTGTCCACGTTTCGAGATCGTGTGTACGTCGTCGCCGATCTCTGCGCGGCGGCCTCGTCTACGTCTACGTCTTCGTCGTCGTCGTCGTCGTAGTCGTCGCCGTTGTCCTCGTCGTCCTCGTCGCCGTCGTCGTCGTCGCCGTCGTCGGTGTTCGTAGTCGTCGTTGTTGCCCTCACCGATCCGCTCGTCGGTGTCTGCCTGCCTGGCTGGCTGCGTGCGTGCGCGGCCTGGGTAGGCGAGGGTATAGTTACCGAAATGTTAACCTCGTGGAACCACTTTTTATTGAGTGTCGCAAAATTCATAGGAACCTCGCGGAACGGCGGAGAGGGGCAGCGGCCCCCGCTCTTTCGCTCCTTCTTCCTCTCCTCGCGCTCGTGTTTCTCTCCGCGTCGGAGGGGTTAACGCGCGAGAGGGGCGGCAACCCCCTCCCTAGGATCGCGCTCCTGCCCCACGGCACCCCTCCGCACGCTCGACTACCCTCCTCCTCCTCCTCCTCCTCCACCGCCACCTCCTCCTCCGCCACCTCCTTCTCTCCTCCACCTCGTTCTCCTCGTCCTCCTCGTCCTCTCTTGCTTCGTGTAGCCTGGTCCTCGCCAATTCTTTGGCCCCACCACTTCCTCGCCAGCGGCCCCGCAACCCCCTCGGCACCTCTTTCCTCGCGCTCTCTCTCTCTCTCCCGCCACGTCCCTCTCTCTCCCACCTTCCCTTCTCTTGCCTCGTCCGTGGAACTCTTCGTTCGTCGTCCGTTCGTTCGTTCGTCCGTTCGTTCGTTCGTTCGTTCGTTCGTTCGTTCGTCCGTTCGTTCGTTCGTTCGTTCGTTCGTTCGTTCGTCCGTCCGTTCGTTCGTTCGTTCGTTCGTTCGTTCGTCCGTCCGTTCGTTCGTTCGTTCGTTCGTTCGTTC